TTTTTTCTAGTTTGAATGACATTAGGTTGACGAATAAGCGTCTTTTCAGAAAAGATTGATTCAAATTCGACTATACCAATCAGAATCTAGAATGTAAACAAATGCTAAAAAATCGTTATTTTCATAGTTTTTCGCGCTATTTTCACTTATTTTTGTTACTTGACGCTATTTAAACGAATAAGCAAGTTTTCCGAAGCATAAAATTGAAGATTTCCCGCCAAAATAGAAACTTCCTGATAACATCGCAAATGACGTTCTAACATCATTTTATTCTATTTGATCCTTCAAAAAATCGTTATAATACTATGTATTAGACTTAAAATATTCGATATCTAAACCAGAAAGTGTTAGCTAGAAATAGACTTATTTATAGAACAACCCCCCCATTTCTCACCTCAGGGAAAGTCATAAAACAGTTGGGTGCTAATGACTGTGAAAGGGAAAAAGTTCTACACTTAGAAACTTCGAAAGAAGGGATTTGTCCTGTACCGTCCGCGGGCCGCATAAACATTGATAGGGGGCCGTATGTGGCCCGCGGGCCACAGGTTGTGCACCCCTGATGTACTGGTATTCATAGTTTCCAAGTATTTTTAATGCAAATGATTTCTTTTAAACTCCTGATAAATAAAAGTGTGCATTCTAATTTTATTTTTTAAACTAGAATACAGTAAAAATTTTTAGGGTGAATTGCTAAAGGCACAAGACGGCTTAAATACACTAAATACTTTTCCTAAATATTCTGTGCTGAAGTGGGTACTTCTTTTATGTCATAAAATGTGATAAATATTTCTAATAATAATAATAATTTTTAGATCTTACAAATTCTTAGATTATTTCTACTAAAACAGTTTTATGACATAAAAGAAGTACCCCAATTGAATTTTTCTAATCATAAAATATTTACTTTTAAAAAAGTAACAAATACTTACTTCATTTATAATTTTATCCAGAGAGCACAAAAATTTAAAAATACTAAAATATAGTATATGTTATGAAATACTTAGATGAATAATAAAATTAATAATTAATATTAGATTACTAATTCATATTGTAATTTATTTTTCATCAACTATAATAATCCTTTGACCATCTTTATTCATTAAATTTTGTTATAAAAGCATGAAATCATAAAATTTTAAGCCTCAAACACACACAAAATAATCAACCATTGTTGGATTATTTATGTAAATTCTCTTCTGTTAAGCATTTAAATCTGTTTTAAAATAATAAACAGAATTTTGTCCAAAAGAGAGTGCTTAATTATAATATACACACATACACTTTAAAATAAAAAACCATAATTATAAAACATGTTCTGAAATTATCTTTATTATATTTAACCCCCACACTTTGTATTTTATTCACCTCAACTGTACTATTAAAAAAGTCTGTTTTAAGATTGATTAAATGTATTTTTTTAGACTAGTTATGTCTCATCTGCAGATTGAAACCCTTATTATCAACCTTAGAATGTCATTTGAAATCTAGAATTTAAGAATTTTTGGAACAAGAATGGAAAAGAATGCAAAATTTGGAATGAGTTCAAATCTATGAGTTTGAGCATTTGTTTGCATAAGCACAACACCAGCAGAGATGTATTGGTTACTAACTTCCATCATTTGTGGTCAACCTTCAATGGTAACAAAAAGATTTATTCAACTTAAAAAACTAATGTTGTTGATCATTATTAATAATCATTGGGCTTACATTCCAAAAATCAAGCATTACAAATATTAACAGGTATCAAACATAAATAATCAAATGCTAAACATGTTTAAATATAAAAATAAATTTACCTGATGAAGATCATTAAAAATATTTGAAAATGTTAGTTTTTCAAGTTGAATAAAACTTTTTGCTGCTATTCAAGGTTGTATGTGATTGAGTATATACTTTGACAATTATATTTTTGAATCATCATTTCACAGACTTCTTAATAGTAAGCATGTGATGAATGAAATATCCTAAAATTATTTATTATCTATAAGACTTTTAATTATTTCGTTCTTTATATTTATAAATTCATTAAAAATAAAACTATAAATTATATTAATATTTTGATAACTCTGTAATTCAAATTTCCAATTTAGAATTTTATTATATTAATATCTGATAACTGTTACAGTTATCAGATATTACATATTACATACCTCTGAGAAGATGACGAATCAGCCTCAGCAACATTTCACGACCCACAGGCTGATCTCCATGCAATCCTCCTATTAACGCTATCTTAGGAATGTCGAATTTATGTTCCTAAAAGTAAATTATTAATATGTCTGAGAAAATACAAATAAAATTGGTATCATTATCAAAATTAAATGTAGTATTTTTTATAAATAAAAAATTTGATCTAAAAATTGTGATAAAATTTCTTTCTCATTTGAGAAAAAATATATTCTAAACAAAAGAATAATTCGTTCAATTCTTGTACAATATTTACCATAATTTTGTGCAGATAATCTGTGGATTATCTGTTTTTAAAATGAAATTTAAAACCAAGTGTAGGTTATGCAAGAAATTTAAAGGACAATTTTAAATTATAATTACTAACTCATCAACCAACTTTTCCTTTGTCTAAAATCACTAAGATCATCTTTAGAAAACACAAAAGATGCTTTGTTTGCTACAGACATATTCATCTGCCATTGTGATTTTTCTCCAAACAAAAACACACATCTAGCTTTTAGTTTGCTCCCATTTATTTCTGTACATTCAATCCCTGATGTAATTGATATCACTAGACATTCCTATTTGAGATCCATATGACAAAATTAGAATAACAAAGTTAAGAATATTTTTTTTTAATATATTTTTTAATAGTTTTTTTTAATATTTTTTTTAAAAAAATATTAAAAAAAAAACGTTAAATTACATAAATATCAACCAGGCTTCTTTTCAACATTACTAAACTTAATTTTTATTATAAAGCATTTTTGACTTATTTTAAGTCATCTTCAGTTAAGAACAGTTTTAAACTTTATGAATGTTTAAATAAAACAGAAAAACCAGCTTGTGAACTAAAAAGAACAAACTATTTAAATTATATTAATTGCTTAGTCTATCACTTACAGCTATAATTAAAAGGGCTTATTATGTCAAGTATGATATGCCTTTTTGATTATAACTGTAACTGATAGGCTAACTGTTTAATATACTGTACAGTAAACTTTGAGTTTAGAAGTAATATTTAATTTAATTATTTAAATTATGTTCTAGAATAACAAGCTTTAATCAGAAGAAGAAAATTATTTAAATTAAATTTTAGAACAATTACAGATTAGAATAATACTTTCAAATTCTATCACAGTTGTAAAATTCCATATATTCTCTAAGATTCCTTAAAGAATAAATAAAGCTTTAAGACTTAAAAATAACATATAAAATTAAACTATATACTAATATTTGAGTTACAAACTAACATTTTTAAGAACTTAAGAATTTGCCTATTGGTCTTATTCTGTTTCTCTTAGGAGTCTGTTGATAATTTTATATCTATTTTGTCTAAAACTGGCTTCCAGCTATTCCAACATAGGTAAGTTTGTTTGATATTAATGATTTTGATACTTTTATGTAGAGTATAAACATATATTTTCTCTAGAATTCTGATGGTGTTTCCTGTTCTGTATTCCTCAATAAGGACAGGTTTGTTCCAGTGCACAGTAACTTCTTTTTGTCAAGTCTATTGCATTAGAGATATAATCACATTATGATGCCCAAACATTACTGAATTGAAATATTCTTTAATCTTTTTGGCAATAGATCTGGTTGTTGAAACTAAGTAAAAATAGGATGCATTGTGCCTAGATAAGCTTAAAGCTTAAACCACTAATTTAGATAGCTTGTAAGTATAAACTATGTAATTCCTTAAAATGCGCATAATAGAAATCTTTTAACTCAAACTATAACCTGCCTTTTTGATATAGGATGTTGCCATTGTTACTACTAATTTCTCTGTTATCATTAGAACTATTTGCTTATTTTGAATTTTATCTATGTATCTATTTTTATATGTTTCTGTAATGAGGCTTTAATAGTGCCACTTCTTGCACTATTTTTTGGGGAACTGTGCTTGTTAGCTATTATTCTAATAGCTTAAATTCTTTATTCCTTTCCTTTTTTGTATATAAATGAAAGATTGCTCTATTTACTAGTACCCTAAATGCCAATAGCTTGTGTGTTATTGTATCATTCAAGTTCCAATAAAGGAATCAGTAGTGCTCAGATCTGTTTCGTTTTTATAAACAGTTAAGTCTAGGAAATTAATTTTAATAGTTAAATTACAAGACAATAGTAAAATAAATTTTCTTGTTCCATTTTCTAATTCGATGTATGCAGTAAACAGTAATTAGACAAATGAAACAGAATTTCAGTATCCTATTGGATGGCCTGATTATTACAATCCATTATGTCTTTATAAGGAAGCACATTTTTTTTTTTTAATGAGCTGGCTGTTGAAGGATCAACTTTTTTTTATCATATTATTTTCATCAGAATCAAATGTATTATTTTTATTTTATCAATAATATTAATAGAAAAACAAATGTTAAAATAAACTTTACAAAATTTAACAAAAAATAATTGTAATGTTATAATTTTAAACTTAGTTTATAAAGCGATCAGATCACTGACATCCTACCTAGAAAATGTTTCCATTTTGTGAATTGTGATTACATTTTAGCATGTTGAAATTACTTCTAGTGAGAAATATTTGCCACTGATCAGAATGATAAATTTCTGGCTAAAAATGAGAGATTTTAAATGGTGGCTATGGAAAATATACATTCTAATTATAGTCTTATAAATATAATTAATTTTGTATTTTCTTTTTAATAACATCATGTTTTAATGATGTTTGCTGTTGTTTATATATGATTGATCATTTCACTGTTTTTTGGGGGAAAATGGCAGTGGGAATCAAATTTTGTATGCAAAAACAAATCTTTTTTTTGCATTCTGCTTTCATAGCAAATGTCTATCTGAACTTTAGCAAAGAGTCTGCAGTTTGCACAGTTAGTAGGAACTAAGTGATCAACTCTAAAATTTATCAATAGGTATTACAGACATTAAAATTATTTTCTATTTAATTTTTTCTGAGTTTATTTTAATATTTATAATTATTTGCTCTACATGAATTGCATCTTACTCAGATAATACAGGTGCACAGTGCTGTATCAGACCATAATCAATGAACAGCTATGGAAAACTGCTGGTGTAGTTGTGTGTGCCATTTGTGTTTCTTTCTGAATTTAATAATTTCTTAACTACATTATTATTTAGTATAATTTACTTTCTTAGTGTAATTACTTTCTTTAATGTATAATTTAGTATAATTTTAGTATAATTACTTTCTTTAATGTAATGTATATGTTGTTGTAAAGGCCTAATGTTTCCAGACTTTTGGGTAATGCATGTGGTATGATGACTTTGTGAGAGAGGACTTACTGGCACAATACCTTATCCATTTTCCACAAACACTTTATTTTATGGGCAACTTCTGAGTAAATATCTACTAGTTAACTGGTTGTAAGTATAAACAAACAACTATCATACCAACAACCAGCAAAAAACTCCAACAAATTTAATAAAAACAAATATTTTCTCCATTTTTAAATTGTGATTTACTAGTGTCTGTGGATGCATAGAGATTATGCCATCCATATACATAAAACAACATAATGCATATTATGTTGTTTCATTGTGTTTGACATTGTATCCATATTTTTGTGTTTTTTAATCTACTGGACATATGTTCAAGACCAAACATAACCAGAATGGACTTAAAGCATTTTTCTAACAGATTCTTTGTTTTCTTATTTGTCTTAATGTCAAGTCTGATATGTAATGTGTTGGATGTATTTTGTACAGAAATAGCATACACACATTCAACAAAACCTTTAACATCCAGTAACAAAAATTTTAATGTAAAAACTTTGATGAACATTTTCAATCTTAACACTTCTCCTTTCAACTGGTTCTACTGTGCTTTTACCTTGAAAAAGCTCAAGACAAATATCAGTCACTCAAGCTCACTAAATTTAAATTTTTATTTGTCATTATTTAAAAATTTGTTAAAAATTCAATTTTTATTATACCATTTTGGAAAAAATCCTGTATACACATATGTTTACATAGTTTATGATTATTTAGATTTTATTTGTTAATTAATATTAAAACTTAGTTACAAAAAAAATTTGTTTATTGTCACCTACTGTTTGTTTGTAATTTTATACTACACTTTGACAATAAATAAAATAATTTATTTTATTTATTCAACTTTGTCATCAAGCTAGCTTGAAGCAGAAGTTTGTTCTTTATATTTTGGTATTAGATTTATACATATTGACATAATTACTGAAAAGCAATTCTTATTTATATCAAAAAGTTAATGTTTATGTATTTCATACCTATATATGTAATTTCACAACTCTAAAATTAACCAACTGGTTATGGTAATCCTGTTAAATGAGATCAATATTTTAGTATAAAAAGTAGTTTCAATGTAAATTATAAAAAAAAGTATGTTTAAAAAACATAAATAATAAAAAATGATAATTTCCAAAAAAATTTGAGTTTTATACAACACTTTAAAATTTTTTCAGACAAAGGAAACACGTGCATTCTTTTTTTTTGGGGGTTTGTTTTATTGTTTTATAATTCTTATTTTTTTTTCCTTTCATAAGTCCTAAATATATAAGTTGATTGATTATTTGTATAATTTTTTGTGTAATTATATTCAGTTATAATTTTTTAAACAAAGAAAAACACATGTAATGTTTTGTTTTATCTTAGTTTACTTTTCATTACTTTGTTGTTTTATTATAGTTTTGTTTATTGCTTTATCAATAAAACCTACATATATATTTATTATTTATATAACTTATTGTATTGTTTTATTTATTTATAAACAATACCATAAATTATATAAATACAGTCGACCCCCCTATAATTACGGTCCCTATAATTACGATTCCTATAAAACTACGAAAAAATATACGTATTTTGGAAATGTTGAGTCGCATTAATGTAGAATTGATTAATTTTATGGAAGAAAACCTTTCAATCAGCCGTAGTCCGTAAACTTGACACGTGTCGGGCTGTGATTGGAACGACTTGTAAGAAATCAGATTCCTAATAAATTGGAACATATCTATATCTTATAGGGGGGTCGACTGTAATAAATATTTATGTAGATTTACCAATATTGCAGTAAACAAAAGTATAATGAAACAGCAAAACAAAACTAAAAAAAAAAC